GGCTGGATTGCAAGAACTCTGTGGTCCTGGGTTTTTTGGCTTCTCTCGCCTGGCTTCACTCATCCTTACCCCCGTGGTGGTGCTTTTCTCTCCCCCTCTTAGTGTTCCCTTCATCAGTATTCTTTTTTTTTTTTTTTAAGATTTTATTTATTTATTTATTTGTCAAGAGAGAGACCACAAGCAGGTGGGGATGCAGGCTCCCCACTGAGCAAGGAGCCCCATGTAGGACTCGATCCCAGGATCGTGACTTGAGCCGAAGGCAGATGTTTAACCGACTGAGCCACCCAGGCGCCCCTCCACGGACTTCCCTGTACCCCAAACTGCTGCCATTTTTGTAAGCCTTTTCCTTCTAAAACCAACTTTTATTATTAGTTAAGGTCTACACACCTTGTGGTCTCCTAAGTATTTAGTGAGAGAAAGGTTGGGGTTTACAAATACACCACAGAGGAAACCGAGCACAACTACAACGGCCCAACCAAGGCCAAAAGCACTGAAGTGGGAGGGAAAGGCTTGATTCCGTGATGTTTAAGATCTTCATGTGCACGTTTCACTGACACCACCAGTAAAACATTCTGGCCTAACGACAATGGCCCAACTGTTGCCCTCCTTCTTGGACAGGTTTTGTCACTCTCTATTACAGTTGATGGGTGTGCGTGGCAAGCCTAGCGCCATATGACCCTTGCTCCGATAGCTTTCTATAGAGCACGATTCATGCTTTAATATAAAAATAGTATTCCTATTAAAGACTAATACACAGGGAGGCAAGAGTCACTGATTTAAGACCTCTAGTATATGAAAGAAAAGCACTGACAAAAATCATTTGTCTCAGATCCATTTTTATTTAAATGGTATGGCAAACATTTTTTTCTAAGATGTTGGATTTAGGGTTTCCTGTGGGGCTCCTCGCTGACTCAGTCTGTGACTCTTGATCTTGGGGTTGTAAGTTCGAGCCCCACTTGGGTGTAGAGATTAGTTCAAATAAAGTATTAAAAACATAAAAATAAAAATAGGGTGCCTGGGTGGCTCATTTGGTTGAGCATCCCACCCTTGATTTCGGCTCAGGTCATGATCTCGGCTCAGGTCATGATCTCAGGATCGTGCTCAGCACAGTCTGCTTGTCCCTCTCTGTCTCTGCTCCTCTTCTCTCTCTCTCCCTCCCTACCTCCCCCTTTCCCTCTCTCAAATAAATAAATAAA